GACAGGCCGGGCACGGTGGGCAGCGCGGGCAGGGCGAGTGGACAGGCCGGGCACGGTGGGCAGCGCGGGCAGGGCGAGTGGACAGGCCGGGCACGGTGGGCAGCGCGGGCAGGGTGAGTGGACAGGCCGGGCACGGTGGGCAGCGCGGGCAGGGCGAGTGGACAGGCCGGGCACGGTGGGCAGCGCGGGCAGGGTGAGTGGACAGGTTCGCGCCCGCACCGGGCCCTGCAGCCGTGGTCCGTGCGCGCACCTGCACCGACCGGTTGCGGGGGCTCAGCCCGCTGCGCTGCACCAAGAGCCGCTGGGCCTGCGGCTCAGCCTGGAGTTGGCGTGTCACCCACAGCGATTCCGGACTTGGCCACGCCTCCCTGAAGCGGGTCCTGCCAGACCCCGGGGGTGTCCAGGGGGTCTCCAGGGGCCAAGCGTGCCCAGCTTCCCGGCGTGGGGGCAGAGGGGAGGGCAGGGCTTTGAGCCGTACCCTGCTCCTCCAGCCAGTCATTTCTCTCTGCTGGTTTGTCCGGTCTGGGACCCTTGGCTTTCTGAGCAGGCCCAGAGGGTTGATCGGGAGATGAGGTTTTTCCGGAAACTGCATTGGGTGGTGCTGGTCAGCCCCTGGCTGGCACTGGGAAGCCAGGCTGGCCTCTAGGAGGCAGTTTCTGGGTTCCCTGTTGTTAGAGGGGTGAGGGGAAGAAGCACCATGAACAGCAGTTTAAACAAACGTGTCTCACCTTTCCGGAGGCTGGGAGTCCAAGATCCGGGCTCCCGCTGCTTTGGTTGCTGGGGAGGACCCTCTTCCTGGGGGCTGGCCGCCTTCTCACTGTGTCCACACGTGGCCCACCCTCTGGGATCTCTTCTCTGGGCACTAACCCCATCATGAGCCCACCCTCCTGACCTCATCTGAACCTCCTTCCAGAGGCCCCGCCCCCTAACACTGTCACGTTGGAGTTAGAGCTTCAGCACTTGAACCTGGGGCGACCGAATTCAGTCCGTAGCAATGGGGCCCAGGAGAGGGTCAATCAGGAGAATGTGTAGAGCCCTGGCCAGTTTGGCTCAGCAGTTGGAGCATTGGCCTGCGGACCGGAGAGTCCTGGGTTCGGGTCCTGCTAGGGGCACGTACCAAAAAAAAAAGAATGTGTAGACAAGCAAGCAAGAATTTATTGGCCACAGCAAAAACACACTCAGGACAGTGAAACGAGAAAGGACTTGGAAGACGCAACAGGAGAGGCTGGGCTGGGCTGCTTTGGCTCCCTGGAAGTCAGGGAAAAGGGGCCTTGGAGACAGGTGCGGGGGTGCGCCTGGGATGAGCTGCCGCTGCCCTGGCTGCAAGGCTGGAGGTCTTCCTGGAGGAAGAGCACCCTGGGACCTTTGTTTTCAGGGGTTTTAAAGGCTGGGCGTTTAGGGGAAGATCAACAGAACAGATTATTCATCAGCTTTATGCTGATGTACCAAAATGAGATTATCTCTCTTAATTTGCCCTTGCGTATGGTTAGCAAGTGGAACTTAATTGGATTTCTGCTATCTGTCTCCCTGAATGATTTAAGCTATTTACCTTCCGATTGGGGAGGAAAGTGCAAACCATTTACTCTACAGCAGTGGTTCTCAACCTTCCCAATGCCGCCACCCTTTAATACACTTCCTCATGTTGTGGGGACCCCCAACCATAAAATTATTTTCGTTGCTACTTCGTAACTGTGATTTTGCTACCGTTATGTCTTAGGTGACCCCTGTGAAAGGGTCGTTCGACCCCCACAGGGGTTGCGACCCACAGGTTGAGAACCGCTGTTCTAGACTATTCTTAATTTAGGGAGATGGGATTGACCAGGTGGCTGTAAACTGCTGTGTCGCTCTCCGCCTCAGTTTACCTGCTCCGCTTGTCCTGGAGTTGTCCCAGCTCCTTGCTATCCTGTAACAGAATAACCATCCCACGCAGGACAACGTAACGTGTTCTGATTTGTGTCCCGCGGCTACACGCCAGGGTGGGTCCCTAATACCAGTGGGGCTTCTCCTGCCTTTTGAGCCAGCGCCTTCCACGCGTACGTGATGGAACAGGTCCTCTCGGGCTGTCGGGAATTCCCACAGTTTGGAGTTTGTTTCCCAGAAGTGCGTGGGTGACTCTGCTGCTGTCGTCTGTGTGAAGTGTTATGGTTTCCGAAGCCAGAGAGTGGTGCTGTCCCCCCACAGACGAGATGGGCCTCGGAGAGCTCCTGTTTCCGTCTTCTTGTGTGCCTGCAGGGTTTTTGCCTCAGTGGGGAAAGCCCAGAGGGGTCCAGAGTTCATGGGCCAAAGTGGCATCTGTGTGTGGACAGGCAGGATGGCTAGGTGACGACTCTAATGCTCCGGCAGCAAGAGCTAAGAGCCCTAGCAGGTACAAGCGTCCTGCCCAAGGCCACGTGGCACTAAGAGGCTGGTCTGAGATCTGGCCAACCCTGTGGCCATTGCCCAAAGCACAGTTGCTGGCGGGTGGCAAACCAGCTAGCCTGTTTGCAGACACACTGGCTGCAGGCAGCCTTGCGCAGGGGGAACCCTTCTAACAGCTGTGCCCAGCACCTACCCAAGGACGGGAGTGAGGACTGAGGTATGGCAGAGGCCCTTCCTGCTGTGTGCTGGGCTCTGCTGGCGTCCGGGAACTGTGCCGGCCTGTGGAGGCTGAGCTCTGGAGCCTGGATTTGAGGGTGTCAGCCAGTGTCTGCCGGTCCTTGCAGTGTGCATTGGCTGAAGAACTGGGGGGCGGGGGGCATCAGTCCAGAGAGTTCGTGGCAGGAAACTGGGAAGGACACAGATGCTCTACCAGCAGCTGCCGGTGGGTGAGGGGAGATGGAGGCTGGGCCCCGCGGTCTGTGGGGCCAGGTCCTTTGCTCCCTCCAGGTAGCTGGGAGAGGCTGAGAGCCCAGCTGTAAATATTTGAAAATGCACGTGGTGAGCAGGGAGGGGAAGGAGGGTTGATAACCCACCTAGGTCACATCTGCGTGGATATCACCAAGGCCCAGCCGAGGGTGAGGGAGCCAGACAGAATATCAGAAGGGAGATCCTTCTCGAAATCAGGGGGTCAGGGATTCAGTGGCGAAGGAGACCCAGCTCCTGGTGCTGCAGTTGGGTGGCCTGGCCGTCACGGGGCTCAAGGCTTGGCTGTGGCCAGATGGGCTTGCCTGCCTGGCCCCCGCGAGCATTAGCTTCGTCCTGGGTTTCAGAGGGTGGGTCTGGCAGAGCTGAGCGCAGGGAAGGTGAGGCCCAGTCTGTGGGCCAGAGGCCTGGGAGGGAAGGCCCGTGGCTGTCAGCAGTTTCCCGGAGCCGTCTGCCTTCGGCAGCCTTGTGCTGCTGAGGGTAGGACTGGCCGCTGCCCTGTGCCAAGGGGCTGAGGCCGGCTGTGGACCAGCCCGGAGCCTGAGGGGGGAGCCCAGCTGGGCTCCGGCTCAGGCTCAACTTCCCGTTTCTGTTCCAGCTGGTGCTGCGTCAGGGCTTCCCTCTGAGCTGGAGGAGGCGCCGGGAGGGGCAAGGCCCAGGTGAGCTGCCCTTGACCCGGCGCCAGCAGGAGGCCGAGCCAGACAGAGCCTGCGGCCGCCCAGGCAGTTCCCAGCGAGGAGGCGGAAGCTCAGAGGGGCTGTGGGTCGCCAGGTCCCAGGGAGGCCGGGCAGAGCCTGATGTGGTTCTGTTCTTGTTTTTGCTTTTTATCTCGAAAGTTTTGAAAAGTGCAGCAATAGTGAGCCTGAGCCCTGGCCAGGTGGTTCCGGTGGTTAGAGCGTCATCCTGATACGCCAAGGTTGCGTGTTTGAGCCCTGCCCAGGGCCCATGCAAGAGTCACTCCGTGAAAATGAAGGTGTAGCCCTGGCCGGTTTGGCTCAGCGGTTAGAGCGTCGGCCTGCGGTCCAGAGACCCAGGTTCGGTTCCCGCTAAGGGCATGTACCTCGGTTGCACTTTGTCCCCGGCCCTGGTTGGTCGTGCGGGTGGCAGCCACTCGATGTGTCCCTTTCACGTCGATGTTTCTCTCTCTCTCTCTCTCTCTCTCTCCCTTTCTCTCCCTCTCTCCCCCTCCCGTTCTATCTGAACAAAAAAATGGAAAAATGTCCTCGGGTGAGGATTAAAAAAAAAATAGTGAAACCGAAGTGAACCCTGAGCATGTACTGCAGCCGCTGTGGGTCCGACCTGCACGTCCCCAGTGGCAGCTGCTGAAGCACTTCCCAGAGACCAGGTCGGCCCATCCTATGGCCACGTCTGTCGGTCAGGCTCTGAAACAAGCCACACCACGTCACAGCTAAACCCAGTGAGGACCGTCCCTTCTGTGACCGTCCAGTCACTTGTCCAGTTTCTGCGGAGGCCTCATAGCTCTGTTAAGTGTTCTCGCCAAACTTTTCCTGAATCTGTCCTGGGGCAGCAGGACCCCAGCACCTTCAGGCGCTGGTGGGGCGCTCCGTGGCCTTGGGCAGGCGCAGCGGTGTGACGGCCACGCGGACAAATGCTGTGTGCTGCTCCTCCCCCCCTCACGCCAGGGTCCACGTGGGAAGGGTCAGTGTCCAGTATACCACATCCCGTCACACACCCCTGGCCCCACATTCCAGCCCAGGAGCCTTGTTCCCTGGCTCTGGGGGCCCCGACGACCTGTGGTCTTGTGCCCGTTTTCTGTGTCCTACCCCCACCTGCATCTCCCAAGCGCCTGCTCCTTTCCGAGGGGCCGCGGGAGGGGCTGGCGCACCACCGAGGCCTTGTTGGGTTTCTAGGCTTCTTCACCTTTGTGTCTCTTCCCTTAAGCCAGAAAATAAGCCTGGGCTCCCAACAGGTGGCCACCCAGCGGGCGTCTGTGTCCACGGGACTGATGCCGCTGCACCGTGCTGCCGCGCTGGCTCAGTGGACAGCAGCCACAGCTGCGTGTCCACAGGTGTCACTAATGTGACACACAGACTCACTCCTTCCGCTTGCCTTTCTCCTTTTAGGGAGTTCTGTGGATTGTGTTTTATTCTAGTCAGAAAGGAACCTCATCTGCCCAGCCATCCTCCCTCCTGCTGGGCGGACAGGAGGAGGGCAGCGAGTCCCGCTCTCGGAGGCTCACTGGCCATGGCCGGGCTGCCAGGCTGCCCTGTCACCCACGGTGGAGTCTGGCACCCACTGGCCCGGCCCTGGGCAGCCTGGTGGCTGGCGATGTCTGGAGGGAGGCACAGTGGCACCCAGGGGTCATTCACAATGACTGAGGCCGAGCCCAACGGGCCCCTCGGCACCAAGCCTGGTGCACTGCCCGGGACTCCAGGTGAGAGGTGTGCCTGTGTCTCTTCAGGCTTGTCGGTGCCAGAGCCTCCTGCAGCCATGGAGGAGGAGGCGGAGCGGCCGTCTCTGGAGGTAAGAGGCCTGGCTGGTGTGGGGGCCGGGGCTGGGGCCCAGGAGCCTGCTTCCTGAGCAGCCTTGGTCTCAGGGCCCGGCCAGCTTCTCATTAGAGTGTGGGGTCCCAGAGGGTCCCCCCTTGGTGTGGCCTCGGGGTGCCCTGGGCAGACTGCCTGCAGAGTGATGGTCACGCAGAGTCTGCAGGAGTGGGGTGGGCAGTCGGGTCCAGTGGGCACCCGGAGCTTGGCAGCCCCAAGAAGGTGGGCACCCAGACTCAAACACGCCCCTCCCCTCTACAGGCCAACGCGGAAGCTGCTGTGACCTCAGGAGCTTCGGAGGGGGTGCCCCCCGAAGAACCCCAGAGCCTGTGCTCGTGTCCCCAAGATCACTCAGTGCTGGGCAGCAGGGGTGGGCAGCTCCCAAGTTCGTGCTGATGGGCCCTGGCTGCCCCAGGGTGTGGGGGGCTCTTGAGCGCAGGTGGGGTGAGCAGAGCGGGGGGGGGTGCTTCAGCGCTGCCCTGGGCACTGTGGGGAGGGGCTGGTCAGTCACGTGCGGGTGAGCGAGGCCCGTGGCTCTGCGCACAGCAGTGAGTGCCCTCCCCCTGCGGACGTGCCCCAAGCCGCCTGGGCCCCATGTGCACTGCAGCCCCGCCTGGCGCCCTTGTAGCACGGAGGGCCTGGTGGCTCCGTGTCCCCAAGCTGGGCCTCGTGTCCCTGCAGCTGACGTGGACGCTTTCAACCTGCTTCTGGAGATGAAGCTGAAGAGGCGGCGAGAACGACCCAAACTGCCACGCACGGTGACCGAGCTGGTGGCCGAGGACGGGAGCAGGGTGTACGTGGTGGGCACGGCCCACTTCAGCGATGACAGCAGGAAGGACGTGGTGAAGGTGACCGCTGTCTCGGCCCCAACACCTGTGCTGCTCGGGGTTCCGGTCCCGCGTCCCTGTGCGGCAGGGAGGCCTGTCCTGCAGCTTTGTCCCTTTAGTTACCAAAGAGCGGAGCTGTCCCTGCAGTAGCCAAGTCGCCCGGGGCTGCTGGGGCCTCTGGTGACGGCGTGTCCTTGCAGACGATCCGGGCGGTGCAGCCCGACGTGGTGGTGGTGGAGCTGTGCCAGTACCGCGTGTCCATGCTGAAGCTGGACGAGCGCACGCTGCTGCGCGAGGCCAAGGAGATCAGCCTGGAGAAGCTGCAGCAGGCCGTGCGGCAGGTGTGTGCGAGCAGGCCCGCGGCCTCGCGGCCTCCCGGTCAGCCTGCCCGGGCACCTGTGAGCAGGTCACTGGGGGTGGGGCTGGTCTCAGTGCTGCTGGCCCACTGCCAGCCCAGAGTGGTCCCCCAGCGTGTCTCCTGCACATGGCCCCGCACAGGCCGAGCCCAGTACACCAGCAGTGAGCGGGGAGCTCTGGTTGGGGCTGGAGGGGCTGGAGCACCCAGGGCGGAGGCCAGGCAGGCGGCCCACGCTGTAGCCCTGAAGTGGGCCTCCCCGGGAGGGTGTTCCACAAGGCCCAGGGGAGCCTCGGGGCATCCACTGTGGCCGTGGGTGCCCTGTGTGGCCCTGGCTTACGCTGGCTGGCTCGGGCCCCTCCCTGCAGAACGGGGTCATGTCTGGACTGATGCAGATGCTGCTGCTGAAGGTGTCGGCCCACATCACGGAGCAGCTAGGCATGGCCCCTGGCGGCGAGTTCAGGGAGGCCTTCAAGGAGGTGGGCCTGGGCTGGGCTGGGCAGGGGTGGGGGGGCGCCCTGGGGGTTTCCCAACCAACCCTGGCGTCTGCCCCAGGCCAGCAGGGTGCCCTTCTGCAAGTTCCACCTGGGCGACCGGCCCATCCCCGTCACCTTCAAGAGGGCCATCGCGGCTCTGTCCTTCTGGCAGAAGGTCAAGCTGGCCTGGGGCCTGTGTTTCCTGTCGGACCCTATCAGGTAGGGCTCCCTTGGCCTCCTGGCCCGGCCCAGGAATAGTGGCCAGTATCCCGGGGCGACCCACAAAAGATGGGGGAGTCTGCAGGGTCCTGGCCCACACATGGCCGAACCCCACCGCGCGGCACGTCCCTCTTTCCTGGGGCTGAGCCTCAAGCAGGCCCTTCCCAGCTCTTCCTTCCCCCTGATCCCAAACAAGGGTGCGGGGGTCCCTGCTGGCGGCCTGCCCCGCCCCCCTGGCGACCCCTCCCCCGCAGCTCGCCCCGCCCTCCCGCCCCAGCAAGGACGACGTGGAGCGCTGCAAGCAGAAGGACCTGCTGGAGCAGATGATGGCGGAGATGATCGGCGAGTTCCCCGACCTGCACCGCACCATCGTCTCGGAGCGCGACATCTACCTGACCTACATGCTGAGGCAGGCTGCCCGGCGCCTCGAGCTGCCTCGCTCCTCCGACGGTGACGGTGCCGGCAGGCCTGGTGGGGGCTCCCGGGAGCTTGTCGCTGCCTAGTGGGTGCTGATGGGCTGCTCCCCCCACAGCTGAGCCCAGGAAGTGCGTCCCCTCCGTGGTAGTGGGCGTCGTGGGCATGGGCCACGTCCCCGGCATTGAGAAGAACTGGACCACCGACCTCAACATCCAGGAGATCATGACGTGAGTGCTGCCCCTGCCCACGGCTCCCAGCACCCAGCTGGGGGGGGACGAGGGGGCACAGCCCCGCTGGACTGGGCCGCAGTCCACGAACCAGGCCCTGCCTGCCCTCCCTCCACAGCGTCCCCCCACCGTCCATCTCCGGCAGAGTGTCCCGGTTGGCCGTGAAGGTCGCCTTCTTGGGCCTGCTGGGCTACGGTCTGTACTGGATGGGGCGCCGCACAGCCAGCCTGGTCTTGTCGCTGCCCGCCACCCAGTACTGCCTGCAGAGGGCGTCCTCAGCCCGGCCAAACAAGTAGGAAGGACCAAGGGAGCCACCGCATCCGAGGGGCCACCTGTGGCCGCTCTCCTGTACCAGCTGAGGGGCACAGGGCCGGCTAACCCCCTGAGGAGCTCCTGGGCACTACCCCCATGGGGATGCAGGCCCTGACCCACCCAAATAAAGAATTATTTAACTGCTCTGAGCTCAGGCTTCCCAGCCCCACCCCACCCCCAGGGGCCTTTCAGGAGGTTCTTGGGCATCAGGACAAGGGTTGAGGGAGGGGCTGAGGTGCACTCCGCCCCTCTGCCCCCAGGCGGTGGGGTGTGCTGGGCCACTGCCAGCCAGCCCCCCCCTCACTGTGCCTTCAAGCTGGGGGCCAGCGGCAGGAGCAGTCACGGTGGGCTCTGCGGTTTGGAGGGCCAGCACCCCTGCAGCTCCGGGCTGCTCCTGGGAGCCTCCCAAAGGGCGGGTTGGCCAGACCTGTGCCAGCACCGCTCTGCCCGCAGATTGTGTGTGGGGCTTTTTAAATTTGTGAAAATTTTTACTCAGGTAATTTTAACTTAAAATAAACTGAAGCAAATGTCAGGAAATACTAGCCTTAAATCTGGTTGGGACAGAAGGTGTCTTTTCCCTGGTGTCTTGGTCCCGAGAGGGCGAGAGGGCGAGCATGCGGGCAGGTTGAGCCTCGGCCTTGGCAGTGAGTGCAGGGACACACCCCTCAGCGGACACACCACGGCACCAGGAGTGTGAGCCCGCCTCGGCCATGAGGGCCAGGCCTGCTCCCTGTGCATGGGGTGGGGGCCAGACCCGCTCACCTCCGTGGGCAGACGGCGTGTGTCCACCAGGGCTCTCCAGTTCACACGTGTGCCAGCAGGCGCCCTCCGCCCTCCTGGGCGCTCGCCTCGGGTGGTGCAGACGGAGGCCCCAGGTGGGCCAGCCCTGCACAGCCCTTCTGCCTCGGCCGTCATCCGTGTTTGTAGTCGCTTGGTTCCAGTCGTCTGTACGATGTGGTGTCCGTGTGCCCGTCTGGGCCGTGTGATTGTGTGGACTCGGTGTTTGACTAAGACAAACCTGCGGCCCTGCGCCGGGCCTGGGAGCCTTGGGCTTGGCCATGCCCTTCCTGTCACTCACAGCTTGTGTTCATGTTCCTTAGAAACGGAAATAAAAGCTAATTTTTGAAGCTTCTGTTTTATTATATGTGTGAAAATGGGATTCGAGTAACCAGGGAGGGATGCCCCCCTGGGCCACAGTGGGGAGGGGCAGCGGAGCTGGGTGGGTGGCAGGATGCTGGCAGCCCTGCCTCGGGTCCTGGGGGGCTTACTGCCATCACCTCAGGGGATACAGGTCCTGGGCCCCCAGCACCAGCCCCTCCCAAGCGTGGACCCCAGGCCAGCAAGGACACCAGCCAAGGGTAAGTGCTCGGACAGTCCCCCTGGCCCACACCCTTGGCTGCACCGCCCTGCCCTGCCCTGCTCAGCACCTCTGCCCTGGCACCTGGGGGGAGGAGGCAGGTGAGCCCAGCGTCCTGGACAATGGAAAGACCACAGGCAGCATCAAGGGTGGCTGGGGCTGTCCTTGGGCAGGCACGGAGCCAGCTGGGGACACAGCTTGGCTGGTGGGGTGGGCTCTTCCTCCATGATTTCTGCCCCCCAGGAAGCATGGCTGCCCCTCCTGGGCTGGGCCTTGCTGCTCTCCTCTGCCCCTGCCCTGGGGCAGCTCCCTGTTGCAACACAGAAGGCTGCCACGGGCCAATGGGTCTCTAGCCCTAGGTAGGTGGGGGTCTCCAAGCGCCCAAGCCAGGGTCTTCTCTCTGCAGGTCCAACTGTGCAGCTGGAACCCCGAGGTCGGGTGGGCAGAGTGGATGCTGCTGGGTAGCCTCTGACCCATCATCACCCATGGATCTGCCCCCTGCAGGCCTCTCCTTTCCCAGGAGGACCTGCCTGGGGGAAGAGCGGACGAGACCACGTTCTAGTCCAGTGTTAGGAGGGGCTGGCTGGCTGGGACAGCACCCAGACCACTGCCAGGCCAGGAGGAGGAAGGCAGTGAGCCAAGGCCAACCCTCCAAGGGCAGCAGGGGAGGTGCACACTGGACACACTGGGGAGGTGGTATCTAGGGACAGTGGGAGGAACAGAGTCTGGCCGAGGGCTGGGAGCCAGCAAACGTATGGATCCTCAGGGTCAGCCATTTCCAAGAGTAGGTGCCTGACACGGGTCCCGAGCTGAGGGGATGGTGGCTACCTGTCTGCCAGGAGCAAGATTGTATCATCTGCCGGACTGTCGCCGGGGGCCGGTGAGGGCTCTGGTTGTCACACAGAGAACACTGCCCCTTCCGTAATCCCGGCCCCTCCCGGCCCTTATCTCCCACAGGAAAGAACTGTCCTCAGGTCTGGGCAAACCACAGGCTCCCTGAGGTGTCCATACCACCTAGCCAGGAGCTGGTGCCCCTTCCAGGTGAGCAGCCTGCGGCATGGAGAGCAAGGGCTACTGTGCATGCATCACTTGTAAAAGCACATGTATCACCTGGAGAGCAAGGGCTACTGTGCATGCATCACTTGTAAAAGCACATGTATCACATGGAGAGCAAGGGCTACTGTGCATGCATCACTTGTAAAAGCACATGTATCACCTGGAGAGCAAGGGCTACTGTGCATGCATCACTTGCAAAAGCACATATATCACATGGAGAGCAAGGGCTACTGTGCATGCATCACTTGTAAAAGCACATATATCACATGGAGAGCAAGGGCTACTGTGCATGCATCACTTGTAAAAGCACATATATCACATGGAGAGCAAGGGCTACTGTGCATGCATCACTTGTAAAAGCACATGTATCATCTGGAGAGCAAGGGCTACTGTGCATGCATCACTTGTAAAAGCACATGTATCACATGGAGAGCAAGGGCTACTGTGCATGCATCACTTGCAAAAGCACATATATCACATGGAGAGCAAGGGCTACTGTGCATGCATCACTTGTAAAAGCAAGAGAGGTCACTGTCCAAGGTTGGCAGGGTCCAGCTGGGCCCAGCAGCTCCCCTCTGGAGTCCACGCTCAGACCTCACACCCGGGTGCAGACATTCGCTGAGCGTTGTGCACCATCAGGAGAGGCTGGGAGAAACCTAAACACCCGCCTTCACCAGAATGAAGAGGAAAGTGCCCAGGATACAATGTTACGTGAACAAAGGAACCCACAAAGCGGGTGTAAAGTAACACATCAAATTGTGGGCAGTGTCGTGAACGTCCACGGTTTCTGAGCATTTGAATTTGTTATAATGCAAATCTGTGTTACATTGAGAAGCAGAAAAACAAGGTTTCACTTTTTCAAATTAAGTAGAAAGTGCTTAGGGGGGCGGGCATCCTTCTCCGACAGGAGGGCCAGGCCCGCATGGTCCGTTCGGGCACAGCTGTCCTGACAGCCTGTGCTACCAGCTTCTCTGTGACCTGCACACAGGTGGTGGCTGGACAGGGGTTCAGAGTTGAGAGGGGGGCAGGGAGAAGCCTCTGGACTTTGAGAGATGCGGCAGGAGTACAAACAGGGCTTGGGAGACGTGGGAGGGCAGGAGGGTGGTGCTGCCCTTGGGTACAGGGGTGTTGCCGGGCACCTCAGGTTCTTGTCCCGGAGCCCACAGTTTTGCTCCCCATCAGGAACACCGGGCAGCGGCTGGGGGTGGGCAGGTGGCTGCCAGCTGCCTGATGGTACAATGACTGCAGCCAGGCTGACCTCAATAGGCCGTGGGGGCCGCCTCAGCTCTGCCCTGGGATTCGGGAACCACAGGCCGGTCCTGTGCCATGGTGTGCCATGGTCCCGCAAGGCCTAGGCCAAGCCCCGTCGTCGGCCACGACCCTGTCCTGTGGGTGAGGACAGGAGGGGCCGTCACACCCCTACCCCCCCAGCCTGGATGGACCCTGTGCTGTCAGTAGTACCTGCTGTGAGGGACCAGCCTGGGGAAGTCCAGGAGGCCGTGCAGCCCAACAGGTAGTCCAGAGGTAACGTCAGGCTGGGAGGCCTATGCTGACCTGCTGGAACCCTTGGCCCCCACCAGGTGTGCCCTCCAGCTGTGAGCTCAGTAGAGGTGGCCAGTGGGGCACAGAGCCAGTCCCCCAGAGTCAGAGTATGGATAAGACAGTGGGGTGAGGAGAGATGCCAAGAGGGCCAGGGCCTGGGACACAGGGGACGAGTGACCCCAGGCCCAGGCCAGGTCTGGCCGTTAGGAAGGAGGCTGGAAACGGAGCACTCTGGAAGCTGTCAGGCTGCAGGGGTTCTGGGGTGCCAAACACCTACAGGGACCTCACGACATTGTCCCCCTCCTATGGGTGGTTCCCCCATCCCACACAGAAGGTAGTATCATTGTGTCATGGAGGAGGACCCTGAAATGTTAAGGGGTTCCCAGAGGTCACACAGCAGCAGGGACAGAGCTGGTTCACAGAAGTCACGGAAGCCCACATGGGGCCCCAGAAAGTGACTCCTTGAAGTTAAGTGTAGAATTCAGCCAGGAGGGACTTTGTGAGTTTGCCAAGGGGTCTCTGGCCCAGCCCCTGTCTCAGGTTTTACTTTGAGGGTGGGGAGATACTGGGAAACCCCTCCAAGGACCAGGTGGGCTCCATGAGCACACATAAGGGAGGTCGGCTCCCTGGGGCTCCTCTGAACCCAAACCCTGACTGATTCTGCAACCTGAGCCCAACTGGTACCTGGGGCGAGCCCTTCAAGGCCAGGCTGGCCAGCCTGCCCGCGCCCACCCTACCCCCGGGAACCTATGAGGGGTTCTCTGGGCCAGGCGCTGCTCTCCCGCTGCACCAGCAACAGAAACGGGGGTGCGCTCGTTCCGCAGAGAAGCGCTGCGCGGGGGCGCGCGGGGGCGCGCGGCGACCTGGGCATGCGCAGGCGGGCACGGAGCCCCGCGCTCACGGCAGAGGGGGAGCGCGAGCGAAGGCTTCGCCCTGGGGCTCTTCCCGGCTCAGACCTGCCCCGCCGCCCCAAGGTCGGATCCGGGGAAACGCCGTCCTTCCGGCCCAGGGCTCCGCGCCGCAGAGGGCACCTGGAGCCGGACCCCAGCGTCAGCCCTCGGGGCTCTGGCTGCATTGGCAGGGGTCCCCGGGTGGGACCGCCAAGCACCTGCCGGCTGTACGGTGCCGCCCCCTGCCCGCTGCAGAGCCTCGCCGTTGCCCTGCGCGCCGGGCGGGAGCCCGCGGAGCCGAAGCGCAGGAGGGGACAGACGGACGACACACCCAATCAGAGTCGGACTTCGGCGGGCGCGGCCCGCGCAGGCGCAGCGGCGGACACCGCCTCTCCGGAGACTGGGCGGCGAGGCGCGCGGGGCGGGACTTCCTGTCGGGGCGGAGGGGTTTCCGCTGCCGCGGCGCGCGGATGGCCTCGCTCAAAGCCGTGCTCGGGACCTCGCGCCCGGCCGCCCGCGTGCTGTCGCCGCTGCTCGGTTGCCGCCCGCCGCCCGCGCTCGGCTCCGCCTCGGCCGCCGCCATGGAGCCGGCGCCCCGCTGGTTAGCGGGCCTGCGCTTCGACAACCGCGCCCTGCGCGCGCTGCCCGTGGAGACGCCGCCGCCGGACCCCGAGGGCGCCGCGGCCGCACCGCGGCTGGTGCCCGGGGCCTGCTTCAGCCGCGTGCGGCCCGCGCCCCTGCGGCAGCCGCGCCTCGTGGCGCTGTCGGAGCCCGCGCTGGCGCTGCTGGGCCTGGGCGCGCCGCCCGCCGCCGCCGCCGCCCGCGAGGAGCGCGAGGCCGAGGCCGCGCTCTTCTTCAGCGGCAACGCGCTGCTGCCGGGCGCCGAGCCCGCCGCGCACTGCTACTGCGGCCACCAGTTCGGCCAGTTCGCCGGGCAGCTGGGCGACGGCGCCGCCATGTACCTGGGCGAGGTGTGCACGGCGGCCGGCGAGCGCTGGGAGCTGCAGCTCAAGGGCACCGGCCCCACGCCCTTCTCCAGGTGGGCGCCCCTGCAGGAGTGCGCGGGGGGCGGGCTCGGCCCGCGGGGCTTGCTTTCCCCCTTTAGGGGCGAGGTGTCGCTCCGGACAGGTCGAGCCAGGGACGGAGGACCTGTGGGGAGCAGCGTCCTGGAGAAGGAAACAGCCTGTGGGGAGGCCCCGCGGCCGGGGAGGAGGTGCTGGAACCCGGCCTGCCGCTTGCCC